TCTAATGCGTAATAATAGTTTTAGACAAAGTTTTGAATCTCTGTGTTGTGGAAATGGGGCGATTCCAGTTTTTCCCGTAATGTGGATGCTGCCTAGACATTACGGGGTTTCTGGACAAACAAAAAACCCACGGAGAAGGGTGAGACCTTGACGATGGTTCCGTGGCTTCAAATAGAATTTATTTTCTGTCACTAACTTCACCCGGTAGAAGGAATGAGAAATATTTCTAAAATGTATTTTTTTCCACATTTATTCTTTGTGCTTAGCAGTGGTAGTGTGAATGAAACAACTAAACTCTGCTATTTGGTCGTTGGTTCGCGCCGGGACAACGGGCTGGCCAAGTGCATTTACCGTGTTTTCATCACCTTTCCTACATTTAAATTTTAAACTCGTCAAAATTATACGTTTATGCCGTACAACATATTTATAGTTTATGTATATTATATTATAAAATTAGATAAGGAATTGCTGAAGAAAATTTTGGGTGCAGTCTTTGTTTCGACATAGAAGTATCAAAATTAGGGCTTCGAAATATATGGTATGTGTAAATTAAATTAACGCGAATCGTTTCACTCTACATCTGAACAATGTTCTGTTAAAAATATACAAATATTTTTTAATTTTAAATGTTTATTTATATGAAGATTTCTGTTTATATTTCCGTATTGCAATAAATTCTGTTAAATGTGTTTTACTTATGTGAGAATCTAAATATTTTAAGCTGAAATATTCTAAAAATTACATAGAAAATTGTTTAAAAATTAAATATTATATTTCAATAAATTTTTTTCAAAGCTAAAAATCAAAGCGAACAAGGAATAAATGTATCCTGTGTTGGCAGTCAGTTCCCGAGAGCGATCTTTATCTCCCATGACTAAATGGCTGACTAAAGCCCAAAAGACTCATCATGACACCCAGTCAGATGATCTCTAAGCTCTATCTCCATTGGAAGATCTGGAGAAATTGAAAAGAATAAATAGGGGATACACGCTAAACCCAGGGCACTTCAGGTCTTCAGTGCCTCAGCATGTCCTTGTTTAACTAAGTGCCATAGTTTCTCATACAAGTAATTCCGCCTAAGATTATGAATCGCATAAGGCAAATTATCACAGAGGTGATATAATATAATATCGTTTGTAAACTCTCTGGTCATCTCTCATATTATGGATTATTATAGTATTAACGTTCTCCAGTTTAGATGCAATATTTAGTTATTTTAATTTTGTATTTTATTGTAATTATCCATTAAATTTTGTTTTTATTAAATATTTGTTATTGTTGTAACATGGTCTCATTCATGACTCGAATCCGAGCAAATAGCCTTGCCGCTTACTTGCGACCCTTCATTCGAAATTCCTCGCGAACGAATGTTAGCGTGCCTAACGCTATAACTAGGCTGGTGTCAGGAAAAACAAACCTGCACGGGTTCATACGAATTTCTGCTCTTTAACAAGGTCAAGCCATCCTTCGACTCCGCCGGCTAGTCTTACAGACTAGTTGCCAACTAAGTGGCATACGAATGCTATCAAAACTCCGTGCCCCCGGCTAGCACTCACACTTATTTCTGAAAACTAAGGCTTTAATTATGGATACAAAAATATTTCAGAAACTCCTCACGAGGATTATGAAACTATGCATCCCATTTCGGCATTAAACACGATCAGACTGTGATTGGTGTTTGACAAACAGCACCATCGGTGTAAAATGGGAAAGCGAAAACTCGTGCGGATTTAAAATAAATTTCATTCGCCAAACCGTGATAATTCAGTTAAATTTTAGAAACCTCCAAACAGTGGTAAACCACTAAACAGATTCGCATGTAAACACATGCGAATCTGTTCAGTGGTGTTTCCCACTTTCACTGAACCGGATGCGAGTCTGGGACGAAACACCAAAGGGGTTGCACGTGTAGTGTCAGTCATTTACCGTTTCCCGAGTTTTCTACACGTGTGTAACAATTAAATAGGGGCCGGTTTCCCAGAGAAATTTCTCCAAACAAATAGGCTTTCACCCGTTGGCTAATCACCCTCGTGTAACGATGTCTTTAGCTAACCAAAAGAAAACCAAAATCATTAAATCGAACGTGGCATATAAAATTTAAACGGATTAAAACTTTAAGTCGGTCTTTTTAAAACATTTAAAGGTTTGAGTCTTTGAAACTTAAAAATTCCTATAACTTTTTCAATTCCCAATTAAAATTTTCATAGGAAATTTTTAATATTTTACGTTATTTATTATTGTGTTAAGGTACTGTTTTTAAATTTTTTTGTTAATAATTGAACTATTGAAATCAATGTGGACAAATTCAAAAACTCGTAAACATAGAAAAAAATAAATAAAACAAATTATTTATTAATTGATTACATTTTCAAAAATTAACATCTTGATTAACATAAATAATTAAAGTTTAAAGTATTCAGATCTTTCATTTTCCAGCTTTGGTGAATATGATATTCCTGTAGAAAAATTAAAAGATAAAGAGCTATTTATTGTGAAAACTTCACGATGCCGGTTGCAATTCTTAATTACATTTATAATAATTTATTTAAAACATAAGCTCTCCGCCTGAAATTAATAGTGGCTTGCCCCTATACATCATACTTTTCCTCTAACAATAGAGTTGTGCCCATAATGTATCTAACACCT